CTATTGCAAGCAATTTAGACGAATAAAGTAAAAGTTTCTGTAGAAAACGATTTACTAGTTTTCCACCATATTTGTAGAAATCATTGTTAAATCCTTAAATGCTACGTGATTTTTTACGCGCTTCTCTGCACGTTGTAGTAAATGACTAAATGGCCCAACAAATACTTGCAAAGTGTCACGGGTTAAGTTTAGCCACCACAAATTCTAAGACTTTTCAAGACAAAGACTACAAACAAACAAAAAAGGCGAAAAAAACAAAAAAAAAAAAACTACAAACAAAATATGTTATTTTTTTACTACACATCTATTTAACTTTTCCTTTGTCTGATTTTTTTTTTTTTTTTTTTTGAGCAAAACTTTTCCTTTGTCTGATTGAAACGTTAATTAACCTTAACATTTTCTCGGCGTTTAACCTTTATGGCAACAAAAAAAATTACATACAAATAATTCAGTTCCCGCTACGGCTACGTCCAATTTGGCGCGTGTCTTCACCTCTCACGATCCAATTTGGAATTCAATTTAGTATCAAGTATTAACTGAGATTTTTGGGTTAAGATATGAAAGAGCGTGTTCGTTAGATAAACCAATCTTTGATTCTCTATCTCAACCACTGAACACATGCAAACATTTGAAAGATTAAATTTGTCTTCGATTTCTCTACCTAAAACTATACATATTTAAGACTTTATAACTATACATATTTAAGACTTTATAACTATAAACTTCGTCTTGTTATCGTGGAATTAGAATTTAGTAAATTATTTTTTAAAAATATTAAGCTATTTAATTGATAGAACTTCTAACAGCTTATTTAATGGCCTTTCATATTAATTACAAAGACGATTTGTGATCATGATTTGTTCAATTATTGATTATCAATAGCTGTGACCATCGGAGAAATCGAGATTCAAGGTTGCAAACTATATATGGCTGTTTGTGTCTACACAATTTCATAAATTTTTGTTGATATGTCGTATTCATATTTATGAAAGAGGGTGAACTATAAACTTATATTAATTGATAATTTCAAACAAGTAGTACTATAATATACTCATCAAAACACGCAAACATACACAATAATTGTTGTAATCGAAGAGATAAGGTGTCGAAAAAGGGAGATATCGTGTTTGTAAAGCATCATTAAAGTTAAAACGCAATCGATTACATTGAATAAAAACCATGCTTTGTCGTCCTCTGATATATAGAAACAAATATTCGAGTTATGAATAAACACAGTACTATAGAAGTAGTAGTCAAGCGAGACAAAGATGCAGCGGCACGTATCATACATGGCAAAGAGCTAGCCACAGCAAAAACCACTGATATTAACAAATGTAAACAACTATATAATCATATCTATTTATTTTTCTTTAATAAAAAACATATATATTTTTTTCCTGATTTGTCTAATTTATATATTCACATAGACCATTTAACAACTACGATGAAACACTTCATAACACATAGTTTTTATTTAAATTTGGTTGGTATTGATTTTTTTTTAAGTTGAATCTGGTGTAGAAAACTTGTGAATAATTAATAGATCAGTTAGACAGTTTTCATATCCATATTGATATTATACTCCTCAAAATATAACTTACAAGCTTACAAAGCAACTGCGCATGCATCGATTTGAATTTTTCGTTATGTTATTTTATTTATATCCTTATATTTAACAAAAAAAAAGTTCTTTAAATCCTTATAATTCTCTTAGATCTTATGACACATTGATCACTGGTACTTCTTTTCTTTCTTTTTTCTTGTTTAGATTTCTTTGTGTTACTTATTAATATTGCTTTGAGCTGCGTGGGGGAATTAAAGTGAAAATGAAAGGAGCAAAATATGTAAACAATAATAGAGAAATAATAAAATTGAGTCATTAGAAACCAAACCCGTTAACTGCGACGAAAACAACAGTTTCCGCGTTCCGAGTTTCTTCTTCTGCTTTCTCTTCTTCATTAGTTTAACTTTTATTCCTTTCCCACTCACATACTTATTTGTCACTCACGCGTGGCGCGTGAAGAAAAACAGAGCATTATCACTGCAACAGTGTTTGACTTTCTAGTTCCGGATCTTACGGCCGTCAAGGAAAATCTTGTACGGGTCGGTGTTTTAATTTTATTATCATATCCTAATTCAATCCCAAATGTTCAGATTAACTATGTTGAATAACAAGAAAAATAACATAGCTCCAGAAAAAGAGAAGCTAACGGCGAAGGTCATGTGGAATTAGATCTAACTGCTGTCAAAGTGTCAATACATCTTTATTACAAAAATTCTAATCCGCGAGAGATAATAATATTTATGTTATACCTGCAAACCTTTTTTTTATAGCTCATCATAATTTCAACACATCACGTTTGATCCATGAATTGGACTAGGTAAAGTCTGTGGAACTTGCAGCATAGGGACAAGACCTGAAACAGAGCCCTACCACGTTAAGGGAGAGCACCCGAACAAAATTTAGAAGCAATTTGTTGTACATGATATCTAGCATCATCAGAGAAAATTCATGCACCTATTACATATAGCCGATCCAAACAATAATTATATCCTTAATCCCGCAACAACAACAAAATATAAGTTTATATCCGAGAAAAAAAGAAGATATTGAATGCACATATAAATATTAACGATCATCAATAATTCAACGTAACTGCAAATTTGAGTGCAGTGTGCAATCACAGTAAAAGTTAAACTACGTTTTCATATGCATTACAACGTTGGAGTTCAATACTTTTTCCTGTGAAAGAATTGGGATTCTCATTTAGTGTACTGATTAATTATGCTGCAACATGCATATTCATGTCTGTCCCTTGAGCAAAGATACATACTTAATTATTGAATATGTCGTCATCCATGAAATAATAATATCTTTGCAAGTGGTATCCTATGAGTTTATAATGCAGACAGAACACTGTGTGATTCAATTTTGGATAGTCCTTTTATTGGATTTCTAGACGACTCGAATTCCTTATTATTGACTCATTAGTGGCCAAACAATTTCATTCACGTTCTAATTATCATGACCACACGTGGTTTCTATATGATACGTTGACATGGAATGTAAAAACTAAAAAGAAATGGAAAACCCCCCCAAGTCATGGATCTTTTAGTGACTCTTTTTTTTTTTTTTTTTGTTAAAATCTTTATGAGTTATGACACCAGGCTTATAAACTAACATTTTACCTCCTTACACACTCTATGTATTTCAATGATTTAGCCCACCATAGTTTTTTCAAATAAAGAATCCAAGTAAGCATTAAGATATACTCATCATATACCTTTCACAATCGACACATTATTAAACTTATCCATATATAACAACAAGGAGAGGTTCCTAAATATATAGTTTATAGGGTACATTTATTTCGACAGCTTAATTAATTAATATCTATATTGTTTTGGCTAGCTCTTGCTTTCCTTTTCAGCGAGACTGCCTTATCTTATCTTATATGAAAGGTCTCGTTTCTTCTTCGCTCTATCTACATATCATATTTTGATCTCCTCATTTCTCTAAAATATACCAAAAGTTTTATCCAACATTCTTATACAAACATTATTAAAAAAAAAAAATACAACAGCAACATAATGATACAAAGTTACAAACAGCGAGCCCTTTTTGACGTTTTTACGATATCATGCATGCATTACATAATTTTCAATATAAGAATTGAAATTTGAATACCAAAGGAGACTAAATATCCTATAATCTTTTATATACGTGGCAGAAACAAAATTTGAGTCTGATCCGAATTGTATTAATGACTTCGATATCCAATGGTGATGATCAACGAACGAGGGATTAGGATGACATGTAAGCAAGAAAAGAGTGGGAACCACAATAAGTGTGGCATGATATGATGACACGTCAACCTTGTCGATAGGACCCATGATCATCAACTGGATAATGTGCATGTTACAGGACAAAACCGTATCGACGTTACAATCAAAATGAGTGGCTAAAAGAGTAAAAGATAGGAGCTACAAACTTATGATAGTATGTTTTATCCTCGTGTTTTGTTTCTTCTTCCAAACAATAAAACTAATCGATGAGACTGCCACATATTCAATTTAAAACCATTCACATCAATATCGATCATTTATCTTCGAAAATGAAAATGAAAGAAATGCATAACTTTTTTTGTTAGAATTCTTCGAAAATGATCTTTGATTTGTGTGTGATGGTTTTCATGACAAATGTCTTTACTTAAGCAATCTTAGCCAAAAACACATTTGATAACTGATTCGGGAAATATAAAATATTGATCTACTATTCTGATGTACCATTTTCAGCTGTATTTGCTCGTGGCGTCTAATTTTGGTATTATAGAACAGATACCGACCTTTCTTAGTAAAGGAAAGATAGAAAATTGGTGATATTTTATTATACGAATCTTACATTGATTGATTTGGTCGGTCCATTGTAATCTATTGGAATAGTAACAAGTTTTCATTGGACGATTATGGGCCCGATTGTTCAAAATGGGCCTACTAATAAAGAAAAGTCACTAAAATGACCACCGAATCTAGTCTCGTCTATTAAATTTATAGACTACTAGATACAGTATTTAGTTTTGCTTTTATCTTTGGATAAGGATGTTGCCGAGCTGGATTAGATCAAATCACAAACTTCAATTTACACTTCATTATTGAATTATTATGTTATAGTCAAGTAGCAGTGTCTCAACTTGCTGAAGATTCTGAATTTATATGGTAAGATCAATGATTCAATGTCTTTTATCTTGTACTAAAATGGTAGTAGCTAAAGATATTACATATCTTCTTTTTGTTTAAACTTTAAATATCATATATATGTTAGTACACTAATAGACTGGCTCAAGAAACAACCCATGAGGACAAGTATCATGGTTGAGACAGAAGACAAAAATGGGCACTTTGATTTGACCAACCAGTAGGAGTTGCTCATTCATACATACGTATGTACATATACAAAAAACGTCTTCTCCGGTTAAGTGAGCACTGTAATGCTACACCGGCCTCCTAAGGAACTTTGATTCTTCAGCTGTTCCATGGTCCGATAAGAGTAGAGACCTTTTTCTACAACTATTATGACACCACTTGCTCGTCTACAAATTAACCAGGAAGGAGAAGATGATTAGGAGAAGATGATTAGGACTTGTGTCGCTTCAAGCGAATCCACCAAATGATGAAGTTTATAATCGAATTTTGTCGAGGAGATAGATTTAACTCACTGAGTATGAAGTTTGGGAGGTTGGATTCTGATGGTTTGGGCTTGGCCTCTTCAATCACGATCTCAGTTGAAGAGTCGCTTGAGAATCCTAGCTTCTGCATTATTTTCTCTAATCTTTTCCCGTTTGTCAGATACAGATAACCAATCTGGAAATTGAACAGATAAAGCGTGTTTAGTATCACGGAAATTAAGTGACAACGAGAAGATTTACCTTCAAACAGAGTTAGAAGCACAAAGAAGAACACAGTGTAAGTTTAGTTAGATATTGGGGTTACTTACTAGTGTCTCCAATGATGATGCCTTGTTATAAACCGCATTACCTGCACGCCTTCTTGTACGTGTTCTAGCGGAACCTAGATTCTTTCCCCACCTAAGAATATCCCTGGAGCAAATACAAATTCATCAGATGGATAAAAACCAATAAGAAGTGGAATCATGTATCTCAGCAGAGAAAAGTTGGATGCTGACATAATGGGTTTTGTGTACTGACCTCTCTTCCTTTGTTAGGAAGTCATCATCAACAAGTTTCTTCAGCAAAGCATACTGAATAAAATTATGAGAAAGTTAACAGTTAACATTATATATGTTCAAACAAGGAAAATGATGACAACATGAATGATATGTTTGAAATGTCGAGAAGACCAACATATAAGAAAGCTAAGATGGTTATGCTGATACCAATATAGAGAAGTAATGAATTCTCATATTAACAGTGTAACAAGATTAAAGAAACAAAACTTCTCAGCAAAATCATGAAACCGAACAAGCACCAATTCATTGTTTCTTCAAGAATGGAGATAACATCAAAAACCGTATACAATACTGATTTAAGAAAACAAAGGAGGTCAAAAGATAACAAACCTGTGCTTCACAGCGCACCACTGCTCTAACACGATCGTTATAATCTTCAATACTAAGCGGAGGGAAAAGAAAATGCCTACGAGCATATAGCTGCACAACCAATAGAAAACTATTAGTGAAGTCTGATTCGCGGCAAAACTCATTCAGGAAAGAAAACTTGCTAATTTCAATCAAGGGAAGTCTATCAAGATTGATCCAACAAGAATTAAGAGCAAAAGCTTGTCTAAAAGCATGAAACACAAGCTCACAGTGTAATGTAAAAAACAAACCTCATAAATGGAATCGCCTATAAAGGCCAAAGAAGCAGCATTGAAGACTGATCTTGGTTTCTCCAACTTTGGTGGACTTGGAGACCATGTCTCATAACCCATATACGTATCATCAACGTCAACAGTTAACTCTACATACATAACACAAACCAAATTTAGTAAAAACCATCTCTAATAGAACCAGGAATTGAAAATTTTGAGAAGTCTTCTACAATTCATTAGAGTCTGGTTTATCAAATGTATACTAGAGAGATTTGATAACGAAACATCGAAATTGAATCAAACCCGAGTTAAAGCGTCTACCTTTACTTGCGGGACGCTTGAGCAAATCCGCGACAGAGATGCTTATTCCCGGAGACGGTGCAGGTGACGGCGGCGGTAAGAATGAATTATTGTTAGGGATTTTCTTAACTTTTCGCGGCGAATTAGGGTTGTATGGAAGTCTAGGTTGTGTATCCAAGGCAGCTCTCACGGTGGAGCTCGCCGATAAAATCACCATTTTTTTAAAGCTTACTCTTTTTTTTTTTTCCGAGCTCGAAATTATCTGTTCGTTTTGACAGCGGCAACGATAAGGCGGTGACGGTTCATTTATACACGTGGCGTATTATTATTCGTCTGTTAGCATTAAGATTTATTTATAAAGCTAACGGTTCCGTTAACTTTTCGTCATGAATGGGCTGAAATTGGGCTTTTTAATAGGTTATCAGTGCATTGTCTTCTATGCATAAAGAGTGTGTATGAATTTTGGATTCTGTCTCTTTAAGAACTTGGAAGACGTTTAAGTGTTCATTTTCTTGAGCTATCCATTCTTTTTCTCACAAGGTCAATAACCAAGATTTTTTTTTGGAAACGTTTTAGCTAGCTAACTGTTACTGTCTACTTGACTATTTGTTGGTTGATGTAAGGCTAAAGGAAAATGAATTGTGAAGCAGATTCTCCATCATGTTACTTGGACATGAAAATCTTTTAGCTTATTTTCTAGATTATGGTCACCGGAAAAAATCCGAGATACTTTTTGAGGGATCGTGTATTGTTTTTCTGTAGAAAGATTTTGATTTGTCGGTTTTCCTCTTTCCTGCATTGTCATCTATGTTTGTCTTTCTCAATTTCACATACAACTACCTCTCACTCCTTTAGTGAGTAGGGGTCATTGCTTACCTGGAATTGCATTTCGGTTTTCCTTTTTCACCATTCTCTTGTCTTTTCGACTAACATATATTTTCCTGGTGAGTAAATGATTGCAATATCTCCATGTGAGAGACCCTAAGACTTGCATTTAGTGGTCCATGAATCTCCTCTGTAGTGTTTAATATCACTTGTCGACACCTATGTGAGGACCCTGCACGTTTTACCTGTTCTTTTGTATAAGGTTAAAGTTAGAAACTTGATCTCCACTTTAAAATGATAATGTTTTTTTTTATGAAAGACCCACCTTCATGACATTCCCTGAGAGTCTAAACTGTCTACTTTTTGCTTATGTTTTTGTTGTTCTGTAGTAACTGCAAAGCTTGTTTGGGGAAGATGAGCCACTATTACCATAGAAGCAACAACGAGAGCTCTTCGAATGGATGTTGGAGGCGAAATCTAACGCCGAACGAAGAAGCAAATCGATGGTAGAGAAACCGATAACAATGCAGATTATTTTTACCAAAATTATGCCTTTACTCACTTGTGAAGATATTTTATAGCTTTTGATTGATTTGAGTTTGATTTTGAAGCATAACTCTTGTTGATGTTGGGTTCAGTAGTCAATGGTCATGTGGGCACTAATGAAAAACTGAGTACTTAATTACAAAGATTTGATTCCTATAGAATTCGTTCCATTTTAACATTTCCTAAGTAACAGCATGTGTTGTTCCTTATAATATACATTGTCCATAGATTTGACAAAAAAAACGGATAGCATAAATCTCAACGAAGGGACAAAATGCTAGTGGTTTTGCATGAATTTCAAAAAGAGGACAAAGGATCATGTTCTCAGCTATCCAAAACCCTAGAGATTGTGAGATCAATTGGGACAAAAATATTCTCCGGTTCAAGTGGTTCTTCACATGGAGATATGGTCCAAATGAAAACAACCCCCACAATTCCCAAAATTGTAAAGAACATTGCATTTTTATGTGCATATTATTATGCTCTCATTGATTTCAAATTGTTCTTTTTATTATTCTAATTCTATCAGTTCTCAATCTTGGTGACTTTTTGGGCCAAGCAAATATACAGATTTACAATTTGTAACTTTTACAAAAAGTTAAGAATAAATAATAGATAAACAAAAACTTTCAAATACTTAGCTTTAGTCAAAAACCCTCTCGGATTTCCAAAGATGCACGACCTTAAATTAAAGAAACTCATGCAATAATTAGATATGATCAAAGCACTAATTTGTATTGTATGAATCTATCCTTTTCTCTTTATCAAAATGAATATACAATTGAAGTGACGATCATATGGTAATAAGATAGCTCCCGTGTTAGGTATTGCTTGAATGAAAAGCTTAAAAATGGCGTTAATAGATATGATAAAAGAATCATAGGTTTCCCAAAAGAATTATTATTTTTTAACAACACTATTATAAAGTGAATGGCAAATTTTCTTGTTTGGCATTAGTCAAAAGGTTAGATATTTAATTACAATGAAAAGATTAGCTTTTTAGGCTCAAAGTATGGTACAATCAACGATTGCCAAAGTATTCAAGCGGCTAAAGAATCTCACATCCTTAGATTATAATATATTATACCGCTCGCAGTCATACACACTAATTTATATGACTTACATGTATACGTTTATATGAAAGTGAGAAGATGCACATGTGGTCTAATCATGAGGAGATTGAATTAGCATTAGATAAGTGTATCATACTTTTCTTGTAGAGCTTCGTTTCATTACGTAATGTATTAATTAACATTAACATATGAGGCCGAATCATTGACTCTGGTTTTTATTATGAAAAAAATACATTTTGGTTAACCGGTTTCGGATCTCATGCGAACCAAATCAAAAGCAAATCATAATTTTTCAAAGTTCCAAGAAACCGTTCTGATCCGCGTACGTATAGCGTAGGCGTAGCCAGTAATATACACTACATATATACCGTATTTGAAAAGGTCATTGATTCGACGACTTCTAAAATAGAATAATCAACTGATTTTCACAACTATAGCTACGTATTGGCATGTGTACACACATTTGGATCCAAGTACATGTCAACTCATGCATATCTTTACACATACATGATATATATGGGCATGCATGTATCCTGTATAATCATGACAAAAATGTGTAAATATATGTGTAATAAGAAAGGTGGCCTAATGGAATTTCGCACGAAGGCGCACCCAAAATACCCCACAAGCCAAAAGACACTTAGCACACTTTTCTTCTATACATTTTTTTGTCTATTTTCTATACAAAAATTTCCTTATACAACCTTACCTCTTCAATTAGTTGGACTTTTGGAACAAAATAATTGATACTTGTTTGGCTCAAATAATTTATATACAAGTGCCAGCTTGATCAAAGATTCAAACAACTTATTTCTTCTCTCTTTCTCTCAATATATATTTCTTTTGCAAATCCACTATATATTATCACATCTAAAATTTATATTATGTTGAGTGTTGAAACAAAATCTCCTGGATCCGTTTTGTGATCATGAAACATAATTTATGTTTTAGGTCTATATATGTTTGTTATCTCTATGATTTGAATTTCACATTTAAATCATTATGATCGTTTTTATATTTTAGAAAGAGGAGAAAAGTGATTATATATATATATATATACATATATATATATATATATATAATTGTAGTTCTAAAGGAATATATATCGACAGAAAATAGACGTATGTATCTCTCAAGTTCCAAATGTACCGCTATAAATTACAATAGTCATTTTAGTTATTGTTGACTTTGTTTTATCATGGTTCCCAAATCCTAAGATTATGTCCATTGGAAGTCTCTAGTTGAGAACTCTCCTTAAAAGTAAATCAAACAAAATTTTACAAAATATTTTTTACTCAAAATACATGAGAATTGGTTCTCATTTGAGAACTCATGAGATACCCTCTCTCGCTCATCAAGCATGAGACACATGTCTTTTTATGAGTGGCTAAAGTTTTTTTGTGATAAATCAAATACTCTATACTCTATAGTTTAGAATACTAATTAAATAGTTTATATATTGTTATTTTTTCCTTTTTATTATGTTATAAATCATAAAATAAAATTACCTATTTATTATAATATTAAATTATTATTATTATTGTTTTAGTTAATACATTAATATTTTAAAAATATGAGATTTGAAAAATTAAAAATTATATTTTGATATTTTGTTAGAATTTATCATAAGATTTAAGATTGAATGAAAAATTATACTTTTTAACATAAAAAAATAAATAAATTGAAAACTAAAAATATCAATACTATATGGAAAAAATCCAAAAAAGGTATATAATCTCACCAATGGAGAAAAGAATCTAGACAAATAATTTCTCAAATTAAATTGAATTAAAAATAGGGATATTATATTGGTGAAATACCTTATGGGTATCTCACCAGTAGATATGTAAAGTTTTCTATATATAAATTTATATAAAAAAATCTAAGATAAAATAAAAGAAGGGTAAATTGCAGGCCAGGGCATAAGACCATCTTTTAATTTCATGGTTTGGCAAAGTGAGAATTGGTTTTCATGTTTTGACAATTTAGCCAAAATCTGACCATTTTACCCCTGCCAGCGTACCGACGTACTGTTCCGTGTACGGTTCAATTAAGCGGTTCAGTTAGGTACACTGTTCCGGTTTGGTTAAGATAATTTCGTTTTTTTAATGTTTTGTGCGGCTGTACAGTGAAAAGAGGAAATAATTACATTAAAAAACAAAGAGACATCAATAATTAATGGCTAAAAAGTTTAGACAAGACTCTTGTCACATTTAATGCAAAACTCATCATTATACTTGTTGTAATATTAGTTTATACGTGTGAATTGAATAATTGTAAGAGATAAACATGAACCATCAAACAAAAAAATTAGTCTGAACGAATGTGATGCTGGAGAAGTTTTGATCTTGTTGATTTACAAAGTTTGGAGCCAAGACAAGCATTGATCGTGTAAATAATGCAGTTGGTTAAGAAGTTTTTTGTTATAACACAGTAGGATCTTGATTGTGTTCGAAATCAACATTGTTTTTTATATAAAAACCCATAAATTTTTATTTTCAATTTTGTTTGTTGAAAATGCTAAATGAGGATTTATATATGTTTATAAGTGTGTAGTTGGAAATTCTTTTTGTTTTTTGTAGATATAATCATGTTTTCAGTTGTATTTAATGGGGTTCTGCTGAATTTATGATGCAGGTGGGTAATGAATATTCCCGTATTTACTACGGTGGGTGAGTGGAGATGCAAAGAAGAAGAATGGAAATTTGAACCAGAGGAAGGCATGTTTGGTCGCTGTGTACGTGTTAAGGAAAACATGACGTACACGGAATTTGTACGTACATTATGCGAGGTTTTCAGTTTGAAGTCCACCGAATGCAATCCCATAATTAGTTA